CCCAAGTAGCGGTTTCGGGCCTCAACCGTTTCTAAGCGGTGCGGTTTTCGGTTGTAGACTCAAAAACCGAACAACCGAATAGCACAACCGAAAACCCGCATTATTTTTTAAGCAAATATAAAATATATTACATCTCCATTCAGCAAAAACCCTAATTTAAGAAATTTCGTTCATTCCCTCTCAGCCTCTCCTGAAAATTTTCATCTCCCCGCCTCCTCCATCCTTCGATTCTCCGCCAAAACCTTTCCCCCCACCTCTTTTAGAAAGTTTCAAATGGACTCATCGTTATTCTCTAGTATTTTCTTCTCATTTCACTTTCACTTTCATTTTTCTCACTTTCTCTCCTCATTCACCCCCTTTCACAGTCGGCCAAGATCTCATCCTCTCTTTATTGTGAACTCTCTCCATCTTCCATCTCTAACACCAATCTATTTTAGATTCAGCCACATCTCTACCGTGCATCATCAAAAATCTAAAATCAAAGCCCAGATCTCCTCTTTTTTTCTCTCTCCATATGGGTTTCGACTCCTCTTGCTGTTAGAATCTGGTAAGTTGGTATGGCCTTTCTCTCTCTCTTTTTTTTTTTCCTTTTCGACTCTTCCTATGGATTTTGATTCTGTCTCTGGTCTTCTATTTCTGCAAGTTACACAGCATCAAACCATCTGCTCTCTTCATCATCACTGTAATCCTTCTTTCGTCTGCAAGGTATCACTGCAGGTAAAATCCCTAATTCTTTCTCTATTTTTTCTCCTCATACTGTATTTTGAAAGTGAATCAATGTTTTGGTTTTTCTTGAAATTGAACTCAAAAGAGAGCGTTTTGTTATGTTTCTTCACTGTTATTTCTTTCTATTTCTTTCCCCAAAACAGATTCCTTTCCCTCTGCTTCAACCATTCCTGCCGGCAAATCTTCTTCTTCTTCTCCTTAGAACCAGCAAATCTCATCCAAGCTTTCACCTTTCCCCTCATCTCTTATTTCTCCTTCCATTTTCGATTTTTCCTCTCATCTTCAATCTTTGATTCAAGACATACCGGAGGAGGCCAGAGGTGAGTGAGTGTGCCCAGATCTGCAGATCGGTAATGGTGCTGGTGACGATAGGGCCCAGATCTGCAGATCGGTGAGGGTGGTGGTGACGATAATGCTATCACCATTCCCCTCATCTCCGATTTCTCCTTTCATATTTTATTTTTCAAGGAAGCGGTTCAAGAGGGCCGTCGACGTGATTTTTGGAGATGGAGTCCGGCATCCGACTGCAACCAACTCGTCCGGCATCCGCTGCATGCAACCAACTCGTCCGGCATCCGCTGCAACCAACTCGTCCAGCATCCAGCTGCAACCAACTCGTCCGGCATCCGGCTGCAACCATTGAGCTGCTGAACACTCCCAACATTTTCTGTCAAAAGTCTTAATAAATGACTTAAGAAGGAGAAAAGAAAAGAATAGAGAAGAGTTTGCAAAGAAAGCACCGAGTTTTAAAGATATGTTGGGAAATTAAGGATATAAATATAAATATAAATAATAAAATATTCTCTATCT